ATTTTATCCTTATTTGTACTATTTTTTATCTTTTATATGAAAATAATTTGACAACAAACGGCTTTAATTCTCCGCTCTTAGGTTTATGAGCATTTTTGCTTAAATTGGACAAATTAAACAAAGAAAATCACCTCCTCAGGGTCCAAAGATGGAGGAATGTATGGTTTAAATTGTTGAAATAAGGCTGCCATCTTGGAAAGAACCGCGGAATCCCTCCTCCTCTCATCCAGAATCACATTCAAAGCTTTCTGACTTTAAAGGAAATAAAAATGGAGAAGAGAAGCCGCGGCAGGAGCACAAAAACCTCTGCGGTTTATGAAAATTTACAACTTTTCCTGTGGAAGTTTACGACTCGCGCTGCGCTGGGATTGGCCGCCGGCGGTCATGTGGGCAGCAGAAATGGGAAGTTGTTTCCCATGAGGTTATAACGCAGCTGCTGTTTCCCGGCGCTCATTCTTCTAACTGTTGGAACTCAAACCTTTTTCTGACTCTTTGCTGTCCCTAACATCCAGCGGAGTCTCGCTGCTGCTTTTATCTGATTTCTGTGCGTCATTTTGGCGCAAAGTGGCGCCTCCGTCTGCGCGACGCGTCAAAGCGCGGCCATGTTGATGGAAAATGAAGGATCACCTCACTCCTGGATCTAAATGGAGGGATTACTTTTGAGGAAATCGTGGTGGGAAATGTTGGCGGGGAAGAAAAGGGGAGAGGAGTCTGAACGGAGAGGCTGCCGCGCCGGAAATGATGGATTGTCAACAAAAGGTAAGGAGGGCGGCGGTTGTGTTGGATCTCACTGCAGGCCTGCTGTTTACATGACAGGATCAGGATTAGGGAGGATCAGCACAGAGCCCCCTCTCTCCATGTTTAACCCCTGAGGTGGCGCAGAACCGGGTCTACGGGTCTGCTGTGGGCTTCAAGGCCCTCTCAGACCGGATCTCAGGCCAGACAAGCTTGACTTTGATGATGATGAAGATGAGGGTCAGACGAGGCCTGCGCCGTCGCTGACGCATGCTTTTGAATCCAAATCGGTCTAGTTATTATTGTCTTATTGTTGAGCATATTTAATTTGCTTTTATTATATTTTTGTTATTTTTTTATGATAAAACACCTTAAAAGTCTTTGATGATGATTTTGCGCAGCGCCGCCCTCTCTGCGCATTTTTGCCTGCGTCTTTGCCACAATTGTGCCTCTTTTATTCAAAAAAATCCCCTCTTTTTATACGTGTAGTTTTTCTTGTTTTTAGTTTTTCTTGTTTTTGCATTAAATCTTCACAAAATAACCACCAGTTTTATTATTTTCATCCTTTTATTTCCTGTTTCCTCTGCGGCGCTTTGCTTTGTTCCTGTTTGGCCTTGCGTTTTTTTAAATCCATAAAACCTTTCAGTTTTCTTCTGTTCTTTGCAAAACTAAAACAGTTGTTTTCAAATTCATATCAGCTGGAATCAGATAAAATCAAAATCTAGTTTGATGAAAAGAAATTCAATAAATTCTTGATAGGAAGTTGATGGTTTTTGCGAACAGGAAATAAAAAGCAAACAAAGTTGACAAAAATGTCCTCATGAGCCTCAGTTTTTTATGTGTAAATGTGTTAAATATTTCTCAGACCAAATATGATTTAAATATTTGCTTTTAATGAAGCTTAATTCAAAACAGACGCTTAAAATATTAATTTGGGCATCTAATGTGACAAAATTGATCTTCTTTATCGCGTATTAAAGGAGTTCAGCTGTAAAATAATCTGTATTTTAAGGTTGTTTAAAAAGGGAAATGTTCTTAAAACTACAAAAAGATGATTTAATCTGAACTGGTGAGATTAAATGTTTCAGATGTTGATAAATATTGATTTATTTGTCAGGATGATACCTGAGACTTTTGGGGGTTTTCTGGTTTTGCGCACTCCATCACTGCTTGTTAAGGTGATGATGCTGATGATGATAATGAGGAGGGTGCACGCGCGTGTCCTCCCTTCTGCTCGTGTCTCCTCTGGTCTTCAGTCAGTCTTGAATCACCTTGGACAAAGTGTAAAAAAAGTGCGTTAAATGTTTCTGCGTGCACAAACAGGAAGTTGGTCGTGCTTTTATGATTCATTTACTGGATTATAATCCCAGAAGACGTGGTTCTTTTTGTCTGGGTGTGTTCACGCTGTGGCTGTGCGAAACAAAAATAAAAACCTGTTTTATGTTTTTATTTTTTGTTCATTTTAAAGTGTATATTTCAAAGCATTTCTGCGAGCGCGTGAGCGTGCGTAAAGACCGACAGGCTTGAGCGCTTCATTTCGATTCACCGGGGACTCCTGTGCGCAACAAGAGCCCCCCCTTGGGTGCAATAGTGCAAGCAGAGACGGCGGTGATTGGCCAGAGGTGGATCAGATGGTACACTTCCCCTCTGTATTCAGTGGCACCTCACAACCCCCCTTTCAGCAAAAACCAAATCTCCGGTAAAGTAATGGCAAAAGCACTTGGACTATAAAAGACAACAAATCATATTCCTCCGGAGTATATACACCCCGTGGTCCACCCAATGAGTTCCTATTTCGTGAATTCAACTTTTCCCGTGTCTCTGCCGGGAGGACAGGACTCTCTCCTGGGTCAGATACCGCTCTACTCCTCGGGCTACACGGATCCGTTGAGGCACTACTCCAGCGCGGCCACGTATGGCGCGGCCAACATGCAGGAGAAGGTTTACCCGGCGTCCTACTACCAGCAGAGCGGCACCGCGGCCGCCCTGTACGGCCGCGCCGGCGGGGCCGCCTGCGACTACAACCCGGTGGGGACTTTCTACAAGGACGCGGAGGGCTCGTGCGCCTTCTCGAGCCGCGACGACCAGCCGCTGTTCGTCACGCAGGAGCACCAGCAGCGCAAGGCGGAGTGCGCGGAGCAGAGCGTCAGCATGAGCAGCAGCCTCGACGACAAGGCGTCCACCCTCATCTACCCGTGGATGCAGAGGATGAACGCCTGCTCCGCTGGTGAGTCCGAGCCTTTCATGTGTTGTTGTCACGCGCGCGGGGTGAGACAGAGGAGGGCAGGCTGTCAGCTGAGGAGCTGCTCACAACGTTTCACTTTACGAGCAGTGGAACACAAAATAAATCATCAGACAGGATCGTGTTTGGTTTATTTTAGGGGGTTACGTGCGGATCTTCGTGCGCCTTTCTTTTTCTTTTCTTCATTTTTTTGGACACATCATTACTGGAGCTACACGCGCGCGCACACAGAGGGCCTGCTTCAGCTTCACCCCATACAGCCCGTGTCACTTAGACCTTATCCAGATTTACCACAAAAACACAACAATTAAACAAWAAAATTATAATCCCAGAATCCAGACGTGGAAATGTCAGCACCACTCAAAGTGGTTCACTCTGTMAAAGATAAAATACATCACACATTATACCCATTTGGCCACAATACTGATATTATTTCATATTTTACGCATGGTGCGTCATTAAATTATGGATGTTATGATCATGTATGGTGCTTCATGCAGTGTGAAGTCACCCAATAACATATTTGTCTGTTCTTTTAATGTAATTATCTGCAACRTCTGCCTTTTAAAAGCTGTGCCAAAATTAGAAACACAAAATTCCTAACAGCAGCAGATGTGGCACAACCTGAATCATACCTCAAGCATGGCTTAGAAACACATTTTAAAACCTTTTCAGCACAATAACTATATTTTCACAGATTTTACGCAGGGTGCGTCATTAAATTATGAATATTMTTATCATCATATATTGTCATGTAGAGTTAAACCCACCCAGTAAGCATTTTTTCTACTTTTATGAGGGCTGTGAAAATAATATTTGTGCAGAAAACCTTGAAATTATGCAAATATTTTACAGAAAATCCAAATTTCTGCAACTTTTCTCAGAAAATTGTGTATTTTTTATACCACATTTCACAACAGCTGAGTCTGGATCATTTGTATGTTGTGAACAGTTCAAACATGTCATAAAAAATAAAAAACAAAACTCATTATTACCATTTGGCCTCATATTTTACATATTTTACGCACACGATGCGTCATTTGCGTAAATTATGGATTTTATTGTCGTGTCTGATGATATGATGGGGTGTTTATACTCAGGAACATGTGAGGCATTTTTATTGAATATTATGATGGAAAATATTGAAATTGAACAAAGTATTTTATAGGAATATTATTGATTTGTGACTTCTTAAAAATGCWAGTGTTTTTTTACGTTAAAATTAAGAAAATTTGCTGTTTTTTWATTTTTTTGTCTCGATTCACTCCAAGTCAGGGTTTTAATTATTAACTAATTGAATTCCCTCCCCTCTTGTTTGATTGCAGGCCCATTTGGCAGCAGTGGCCGCAGGGGCCGGCAGACCTACACCCGCTACCAGACCCTGGAGCTGGAGAAGGAGTTCCACTTCAACCGCTACCTGACCAGGAGGCGTCGGATAGAGATCTCCCACGCCCTGTGCCTGACAGAGAGACAGATCAAAATCTGGTTCCAGAACCGCAGGATGAAGTGGAAAAAGGAGAACAAACTCCTGAACCCTTCAAAGACACCCGAGGAAGAGGAGCAGGCGGAGAAAAAGAGCTAAAAAATCGAGTTTGTGGGGGGGAACTCTGATGCTGTCCGTGCGCACACTCCTCAAATGAAATGATGTATAATTCATTTGTAGATAATAAGAAGTTGCAGCAAAAATGCCACCATAGAGACTTTGCTGAGTGTCTGCACGGTAACCCTGTCCTCTGTTTGTCCTCGTGCTCGTGTCTTTATTTAGAGGACTATGCAACWATCCGCCAACGTGTACATAAAAACCTCAGCGTTTTTTAGTTTTTGCTGCCATGATTTCTGGTTTGATTTGTTTTATTTAATCTCCATGCAATTAAAGCTGTTTCTGTCCTTCAGTGTGTAGCTGTCTCTGTGTGATGATAGGCTTGTTGTTTACAGTTCAATTTGTACAAAAAAAGGGGAAAATGTTTCATGTTATTTATTGTTCCTCCACGTGTTCGATGCATATCTGTGCAATATTTTGTTTATGAAATTGTACATATAAAATAAAGGCTTTTTGATGTAAATGTTGGAAAATCTGCTGCTCTCGTTATTATTATTATTTATTATTATTATTATTATTATTACTATAATAATTATAGCAGCTGCCTCTCCAGGTCAATAAGGAGACAAATAGTATAAATAAAAGATAATAGGCTCACAGAATGACAACAGTCTGTGTTACCTGAGCCTTTTGTGGCACGTTTTCCCCTTTTTTTATTTATTTTTTTGACCTGAATGATGGATGAGCCCGCGAGGCCCGCCACGCCGCAGTACCGCCTCTGTCCGGAAGATGGCGCCCTCTGCCCGCGCGCGCGCGCCTCTCCGGGGCGCAGCGGGGAGGCACCATTGACTGGAGCCTAACGACCATTATTTCGTCATCATTTGTAACCATGGAGCATGAATTACCTCTTGAAGTCATCAGTGAGGATTTACGACTGGTCAACAAAGGCACGTGATTCCCGAACGCGCGCCCATATTTGGCCGCATACCTGGCAAAGTACAGTAGGGGCTTCATTGCTTATAATTCATGATTGCGTCCATAAATCGTGCAAGCACACAGGATTATAGCGACAAAGATCTACAAATCGAGGCTTTAAAAATCCAAGCAAATGAGCTCTTACTTTGTAAACTCGTTCTCAGGGCGCTATCCAAATGGCTCCGACTATCAGTTACTAAATTATGGGACTAACGGCGCTGTGAGCGGCTCCTTCAGAGACCCCGGCACCATGCACTCCGGGTCTTTCGGCTACAACTACAATGGCATGGACCTAACGGTGAACCGCGCCAACACCGGCGGCGGCCACTTCGGTGCCGTGCGGGAGGAAGCGCGCGGGTTCGGGCCGGACGCCCGCTACAGACAGACGCCCAGCTGCTCATCGCTGTCGTCCCCAGAGCCGGTGCCGCCGGTGCCGCCGCCRCCGTCGTGCGCCACGGCCGGCCGGGAGCTGCCCGCGGAGCTGAAGGGCGCCTCCTCTCCCCCAGCTGACCGGAGCGCGACCTCGGCGCCGGGCGGTCTGGGCAAAGCCGGCGGCGGCGCGCATTTCGCGGAGATCGAGGACGGCACGGTGGGGAACGAGACCGAGGAAGGCGCGCACGGCAGCGGCGGAGGAGGCTCCGGCTCCCGGGCTCAGCAGCAGCAGCAGCAGCAGCAGCAGCAGCAGGAAGCCAACGCCACCTCCTCCACCCCCACACCAAACGACTGCCAAACGCCACAAATATTCCCCTGGATGCGCAAACTGCACATAAGTCATGGTATATTTACTAATCTTTTCTTTGGAGGGGGGGTGCCATTAATCTGTCAGGTGTTGCATGAGTGAGCAGCTGGTGTGGATGGCCGCAGAACGGGCTGTGTATTTGTTGAGTGTTGGTTCTGGTTCTGCCTGCAGAGAGGCTGAAAATCTGCGCGTAAAACAGGGGGTTCTGCTGCTGAGGGCGGTGTTGGTTGCATGCGTCCCCCACCTTCTCCTCTTCCATCAACTCACTCCATTCAGAAAACAAAGAAACAAAAAAAATCAAATCTAACTTCCATTCCCATTTTTTTTTTCTTTTGGTTTGTTGCTAATTTTTCTGGGTTCAATTGTAGATATGACCGGACCTGACGGGAAAAGGGCCCGAACCGCGTACACCCGGTACCAGACGCTAGAGCTGGAGAAAGAGTTTCACTTCAATAGGTACCTAACCAGACGGCGGAGGATAGAGATAGCCCACGCCCTGTGTCTTTCCGAGAGACAGATCAAAATCTGGTTTCAGAACCGCAGGATGAAGTGGAAGAAAGACAATAAACTGAAAAGCATGAGCCTCGTAACCGGAGGCAGCGCCTTCCACAACTGAACAACTTTTTGTTCTTTTTTTTTTCTTTGTTTGTTTCGTGGAGAAGAAAGAGGTTTAAAATGTTAAATATTAGAGGGTTAAAAAAAAGAAAGAAATGAGTGTAAAGCTCTAAAAAAGCGCAGCACCTTCCAGCATGCCGTGATTAGAAACAAGTCTGTGGATTTTTAGTTGTGTTGTAGTTTAGATGTCCTGTTTGGAGAGGGAGGAAAAAAAAACATGTCGTTGCTCTTTTCTCTCCTTCTGTCTCTTGATCTTTATTCTTGAGTAAATTCATTAAAATGAAAGAAAAAAAAAACGAGTCAAACCATTTGCTGCTCTCCGTTGAATGTAAAGCGCTTCTGTGTAACTTTTTGCTCTTTTTGATTGTGACCAAGATCCCTGCAGAATAAAACAAGCCAATGTGTAGCTCTCTAGGATATTCTGTGCATTTATTATTATTATTATTATTATAATTATTAATATTGTTTAGAACTAATAAGCAATGCAAAGTGTATTCAACCTGTCAATGTGATGAAGTTTTAGTGTAAATAAGGGTTATTCTGTGGATTTTAGGCAGTGATGTGAGCTTTTTTATTTTATTTTCTTTTTTTGGTTTTGTATGTGTAGCTCTCTAGGATATTCTGTGCATTTATTATTATTATTATTATTATAATTATTAATATTGTTTAGAACTAATAAACAATGCAAAGTGTATTCAACCTGTCAATGTGATGAAGTTTTAGTGTAAATAAGGGTTATTCTGTGGATTTTAGGCAGTGATGTGAGCTTTTTTATTTTATTTTCTTTTTTTGGTTTTGTATTTGTAAGTGAACTCAGCGCTTGGAAATAAAGTTTCTCTCAAGTGACGTTTTTTTTATTTGTTTTTACGCACGAAGCTGAAAATGAACGAGTGACCTTTAAAAGGCGACACAAAGCTTTATTTTCTGAGAAAGAGAAAACTTTTTTCTTACCTCCTCTGACCTCTCTGACGTGACTTTTCCCCCCAAATATGAAACATCTCGCTGATAAAAAATAAAAATAATCCCCCCTTGAGGAACAATAATAAAAAATGTGAGTCTTTTGGCTTTTTCAGCTGGATATGCGGCTGAAGTTGGTAAAAAAATAGCCCCTTACCAAAGATTGTAAAGGCCTATATTACTTACAGACTGTGAAAAGTCACGTGAGGTCCATAAAGTTGGTTTTATGGTTTTGGGGAGTAGACAATGTACTATATAATTCACAACCTTGAATGAAAGTGACGGCTTAACTGCGTGGATGGGACTTGGAAGGGTGGACTGGGGATGGAAGTGTCCAGTCATGCTTCAGGACTTGGATTATTTTTTATTTTAGTTTTTGTAAAACACTCGGATTGGGGCTGTTCTTAAAGGTTTTAGGTTTAAAAGTTCAAAGTCAGGCTTTAAAAGTTGAAACTTGTAATTTTATTATTGTTAATATTTCAACACTGGATTAGAATTTCTGCAGCGGTGCAGTGGAGGGGCAAGATTTTATTTTTCTTGGGGTTGGCAAAGGCCGAAGGCAGACTTTGTTTAAAGTTTAGACTTGATTTGATTTGTCCAGAACAACACAAACAACACAAACAACACAAACACAAAATACTGAACAGAGTTTATTAAGACTCTCAATCAGCTGCTTCTCCTCAAACACAGAAAACTTGAGTTTCATTTTAACAAACATTTAAAAGTTTCCATGAGATTAAACAGTGTTAAACTCATTTCAAAGATTAAAAATCTGCAATTATTTAAAAAAATCTTGCATTAAATAAATTCATCACATGTTTCTCAGGACTGACTAAAGTTATGGTTCAGCGACAGAGAGGCATCGGTTAGCGGGACGCTTCCTGTCAGGTTAATGGGAGAAAACATTTCCACATCCAGGAGTGAACTGCATACAAACAAAAGTTTTATTCACAATTTATCGACTTTATTAATCCACAAATAAGGGGGGCAGCTGGGATGTCAGCTGCCACCCGCAGCCCCCCCTTTAGATCCACCACTGTTTTAAACTTAACATTTAAGATAAAAGTCAAACTTCTACAAAGGTTTAAAAACTTCTGGATCCAAACAAACACCGAGTGGTTTCAGTTTGACCCAACTCACCAGGTTAAGTTTTCTACCCAACAGTTAGGTTAAAACAATGAATTTGTTGAGTTAGTTAAAAGTTAAAAAGAACAACCGCTGCTGCTAAAGTACATCATTAAATATGCTTAAATAGCCTATATTAAAGTAGATTTCCACTAATACTTACCAATACGTTTAGCATAAGCCAAGTATAACATAAACTTTGGTATATCTCTGATAACTCTATTATTTTTAGTTTAAAATGGCTTAAAGGACACTTGAATTTGTTTTAAGAGTTACTATCAGCTAAAAATGAAAATAAACTGAAAACTACAAATATTAACCAAGTCAACCAAGTTAAACATCTTTATAAAAGGTAAAACACTAAAAACAAGTTTAACTCAAATTATTTAAAATACCAATGCTTATGTTGACTCTAGTTAGCTTTGTTGAACCGTTTCAGTTATATAAACCATTTTTACGTTTTCATCTTTTCACAGTGTTCAAAATGAAGCAGCTTTTATTTTATGGATTTAATTTTTGGCAATTTTTCATATTCTTTTAGATTTTTTAAAACAAACATTCAAGT